ACCTGTCATAACAACATTTTTACAGGCACTCTCATGAAGAATAATCATTATAAGAGAACTCTAATCAACGCCCCCGTTAAGTTTCATATTATAGCAAAATCTTAAGGTGGTGTTTGGTTGGGAGCTTTTCAGCGGATATCTATGTTTCTCAAGTATGGCTTTTAGAAACACTATGTTTGTTTCAACGTATTTTCACCAAAAACTCATCTATCCAATTTGTATGGATTTATGAGAAACATATATATCCGCACTGTTTAGAAACCCAATTTGAAGGTGGAATTTTTCGAAAAACCGGTTATTTGGCTTTTAATGCACTGTTGATTTCATAAAGTTACCTAATTTTCCCAGTAAAGTTTTTTCCCACCAAACAATTTTTTTTTACATTTTTCTACCTATCTCACTTTATCTATCTTTCTAATCATTTCTCTATCTATTACATTTTTCTACTATTCCAAAAAAAATTTCCTCAAGCAGGATCTCTAAGAGTATCTATTATAACTCAAAAAAAAAAAAAACTTTTAATTGGCTTTAAGAGTCAAGATCAGGTTAAGGTTTACATTAATGTCATTCAGCTGCACTGGCTTAACATAAAACTAGTTATGGCCAAAATCATGGAAATGTTTACATCTCAGAGTGACTTCATTATTGAGTAATAACGGGGTCTTCTAATCTTTCAACCAGTAAATTGTTTCCTTATTTACCGGGAATAAATCATATACATGAGTAAGGAAAATAATCAGGCATGTTAAACTATAAGGATGGTTATTGGGGGATAAAATGGGTTTTACCCGTGAGATCTGCATGCCTAATTTAACGAGTTGAATTATATTTTCTAATCTGCCAACCCATCACAATCCAACCTGTTAAGGGTGGGTTAAACAGATTGAGTGTGGGTTAGGATGAGATGACCCGACAGGATATTTTTTATTTTTTTAAAAGATAAATTGGGTAATTTAAATAAAATATTTTAATTAAATTTTTCTAAAATACCTCTCAATTTTATTTTATTTTGAGATATTCTAATTGATTTCATCGCTTCGCGACTAGTCCGATTCGAAATGTGTTTCTGGATTAAGGCTTTAAACTCTTTTCAAAGATGGTACTGAGGAAGATCTAAACACATGCTTTTATCCCCACTTGTTCAATTTTCTGGCGACAACTGAACTACCATTATTTGATCTCAGTCTTTTTTATATGGTTGAGATTTTCAACCCACTCCGACAAAGCAGATTGATTCATGGCGGGTCAAATTATTTTAAGAATGGTAGAGAATTGAACTAAAGTACGTTCCCAACCATTAGTGCTTTATCAAATAGGATCAAGTGTGTCAAAGTTATCCTTCAATCTGCCAATTGGGAATTGGGAAGAATGATTAATTCTACTCTTTGAAACAATTATTTCTACTCTTCTTAAATGCATAAAGAATTTTAACGTTCAATGGAAAAGTAAACAACTTGTTCACCACCTAAGAAAATCAGAACATGTAAAATCGAATAGTAAGATTGGTGGCTTCAAGCGTCAAATTGAAATTCAAAATGATACAGATTTTTTGGGCCAGTCCATAATTTAATGGAGTAGTTCATACGCGGATGACAAAAGAAATCAAATATTACAGGTTAAAAAAAAGAAAAAAGAAAAAAGAAATCAAATATTATTGATAGACTTAAATGAATTAAGGCAATTGATATATGAATAATCAATGCCTGCAACTAGGAATAAAACTACTACGATCTGACAATATGGATGAACTAGCCCTTAATATAAAAAGTTATACTCACCTCAAAATATATGTTTGGCACTTTAGTTTAGTACAGGCATGTTAAGGGGACTATTCAGGAAAAGCAAAATATATATAGTTGAATAACACACTGACCAACCTTATCATTTTCTTCAAATACTCCTAGGAAATTTAAATATGAGTGGTAAATAATTATGTCCAACATTAATTAGCAATGAACTAATTAAAGACTATAAGTGTAAAAACTCATAAATTTAATATTTTAAGTTTTTGGATTAAGATATAATGTCTAGGAACATTAATTTTCAAATAATATTGTTTCACTTTAATATTGGGACCATAAATATATAAATTTTACATATACGATGAGAGTAATTTTTAAAATATCATAGAGTTTTTTAATGTATATTCTTAAACCCACAAGTCAAAACAGCCGTTATAAACCTTAAAGCTAAATATTCGAATACGACTTTCTTTTCATTGAAATTTACCATTTTTTAAAGGTTTGTATTTATATTTTGAAATGTAAAAGTTTTAATTAAACTTTTCTACTTAAATTCGTCCGACATTCATTTAGGGTTCGTTTTTTCTGCAGTTATTGCAGATAAATTATCTGCAGTAAGCCCAATACGACGTCGTTTTGGGCGGAAATCATGGTGTTTGTAATTTTAATTTATTTTAGGGTTATTATAGTCTTTATAATTATAATTTTTTAATCTTTTAATCTCAAAACGACGCCGTTTTAGTAATAAATGCAAATAACTTATCTGTGGTAACTGTAGAAATATTTTTTTATTCATTTATTTGTCGATATAGCCAGTCCATTTAATCTTGCTTGAGACATTTTTTTTAACTTAAACAATGTATTGTTACTTTTTTTTTGAAAAATCTCCTTTTATTACCAAAACTTACAAGAATTATTAATGAAAAATACTATTATTATTTTACTTGAGATATATTATGTTCTCTCATCTCGAAAATCTCACCCCCACTTTTTTTTAGCCCTTTAATAATGGGTTTCACCTAACTTCTCTGTATAGTATGTGAGAACTACTCTAATATAAAATGAGAATAATATTCCTCATTATTAATCTAGAGTTTCCATAATTTTTCTCCTAGAACAAAATATGTGAGGCCCTTTTATGCAAGGATGAAAAATTGTAAGGGTGATTTGTACTTGAGGAAGTATTGAAATAATTTTTTTAGAATATAAGGTTATATTTTATGCTGAATTTAAAAAAAATAAAAATAACGGCTAATCTGAAATATTTCCAAACCGTATCATACTTTTGATTTTCACAATTTTTTTAATTAATATCTTTCTCATTTTTAGTTTGATTTTAACAACAAATTTCGGTTTAATTGTTACACTAACGCGGAGAACAATGATAAGATAATGTCATATCCTATGATGCACGGACACGGACATGGGACACGAGACACGACACGACACTCCGACACGTTAATTCTAAAAAATGCTAAATTTCGACACGTTGGGACACATTTTGATATTAAATAATATTTTTAATATATATAATATAATTTACATTTAATACATATAACAACTCATAATAACTCATATACTAATCAAATATACAAATTTCATAACATAATTATTAAAAAAAAAATAGAACATCCCAAGAGTGTAGAGTATAGAAAAATAAAAAAATTATTTCAGTTATGATAACACACAGATCAATTACATATATTCTTTAAGAAAAACCTTTGATTAAAAATTAATTAAAATAAAAATAAAATAAGGGAACATATATTTACTAAATTTTAATGTCACCTAGCTTTCTTAATTGCAAAAGAGAGAGAGGGAGGGTATTATTGTCTTTCTGCAAATGGATACAGGACCAACTTTATAAAGTTGTCTTCCTCCTCGGTACCCTTCTCTCTCTCTCTCTTCAACTTCCCAAACCAGAACCAGCAGCCGACGACGGAAATAAACCAGCATTCAAACGATAGTGGTACATAAACCAGCGTTCAATAAACCAGTGGTCAATATAATTAGATTCAGCTTACAAGTACACCACGTCCTGTACCTTCTACAGTTTTTAATTATAGTTTTATTTTATTTAAAAAAAAAAATCAAAACGTGTCCACATCGTTGACTGCGTGTCGGATTCGGTCAAATTTGCGTGTTCCACTAGTCAACGTGTCCCCAAATGTTGACTACGTGTCGGACGCGTGTCCGAACGTGTCGGAACGTGTCCGTGTTGGATACATGTCCGACACACAAATTTTTTTAAAAACTTCGTGTCTGTGCTTTAGAGGTCGTATCAACGTTTATTATATGATATCAAACAACAAATTAATACAGTACAATAATAAAGTCATTAGAATTGATCTAAATTGAGTAACTTATATATATGAAATCACAGTTGCAAACCTCAATGTTATTATTGTGTTAAATAAAATACAATAACAATAATTTTATGAATAATTATAAATAGAAGAACCTGTTCTGGATAGCCCACAAGCATAGGCTCACTACTGGGCCCAGCCTAAAGAGCCCACTTCTAGAAGGCATAATAGGATGCCCCCTCTTCCCCATGCACACCAGCTGCCCCTGCACAAGGGCAGGGGTTCAGCATGCCTAGCCTGAAAAGGCTAGACTGGCTAGGTTGACTGGAGCTCTTGCTCTAAATACCCCTCTCTCACATTGAGGAGGGGATCCTCTTCTTCTCTATTCAGCTTCATGCGCTGCCACCAGGAGAACAACCCTAGCCATACACACACACTTCTCCTTGAGCACATACATGGGAAGCTCCACTAGTGCCTTGGTCTCTACTATGGTTACTATGGACACCCCTATATTAATATACTTCACCCTCACATGAGACATCTATGTACCACAAACAGTACAGAACCAATTTACAGATAAAAAAAGCCCCCAATGAAGAGGTTAGCTAGAACCTCAAACTAAAGTACGTGACAAGTGACAACCCGCGAGAATTTTAATGGCACAAAATTGTAATTAAGAGATAATATTTTTTTATTCAAGAACAATAAACTGAAAAAAACATATTTAAGTGATTTTTTTATTTTTTTAGTACATTGATTTTTTTTTTCTTTTTTACAAACTCTCATTCTATTCTTTAAAATTAATATAAAATTGTTACAAACATTTATTATTTTGATATTATTTATTTTTAAGGAGAAAAAAAAACAGTGAGAAAACAGAAAACAGAAATACAGTTACGAATATCACAAGAGGGAAGTAATAAACGTGGTGATTTGGCGGGTCAACAAAGTCGCCTTGGAATCTTCCCTCCTACTCCAATTTAACCATTCCTCTCTCTCTCTCTCTCTCTCTGGTGGCGCCGCCGTCACAGCATGGCATCTCTCGGTTGCTCCCCCGAATCGGCGTTGATATTTCTGGGAACGGGTTGTTCTAGCTCCATTCCCTACACAAGGTGCCTCATCCGGCCACCAGATCCTCCCTGTACCGTGTGCGTTCAGTCACTCTCCCTCCCACCTCACCAAAACCCTAACTACAGGTACGTCATTCATTTATTCCTTCATCAATGTCACTTTTCTTGTTCACTGTGAATTGCATCTTATCTTTACTTTATCAAATTAGTGCACGAAAAATATAGCATTTGTGATATTAGTCTTGAAAAATGAAAAGTATCATGTTAGTCAAATTAATCATTCAAATATATGTTTTAAGCTTTTATGTGATAATTTTCATCTTTTCAAAGAACTAAATTAAGGGTTTACTTTCACATTATGTATAATGGATTTAACTTTTTCAGGTGCAATACCTCCCTTTTAATCGATTACTGTCAAAGGGATGACGCTCACAAATATATATTGATTGATGCTGGGAAGACTTTCAGGGAGACTGTACTTAGGTGGTTTGTTTTCCATCACATTCCAAGAATAGATTCTGTAAGTCGCTCAACTTCCTTTCTTTTTTTTTTTTACAAATTTATTTTCATTTATTAGTAAGAATTTCAAAATTTAGATTCAATAGTTCCCGGGTGTACAGAATGTGTTAGTGAACTGAAAACATGTAGAGTGCAATGTTGAAGTTTGTATTCTCTGAAAATAAATTAATTCATTCTTGCTTGGATTGCAGATTGTTTTGACTCATGAACATGCTGATGCAGTCCTTGGATTGGATGATGTACGTGCTGTTCAGCCATTTAGTCCCACCAATGATATCGATCCCACTCCTATATACTTGACTCAGCATTCAATGGATAGGTGCCTCTAGTAGACTTCCCTTTTTATTTAATTTAACTTGCTTGATTTACCTGAAATTGCACGTACCCCTTCTTTAATTTCTAGACCTGCAGAATTATCTCTTAAGATTTTAAATTTAAATATGCACTATAAGTAACAGAACTATGTGTTAAAAACAGTAACAATATTGAATTCATATTTCTTTCGTATATTCATCCTCAATGAGGGGTCTCATATATATACAACTCAGAGCAACAAATTGCTACTAATAGGAAACTAACCTAAACAACTTGATCTCATCTGTTCAAATATACAAAAACAATCAACAACCCGATAACTGTGCAAATGAACAAAACAATCAACAAACCAGATAACAATCTTTTTCTAATTTGAAATTTAAATATCATATTTCAACACTCCCCCTCAAGTTGGTGCAAAGATATCAATCATGCCCAACTTGTCTATTGATTCTTGAAACGTCTTTACAGATCCTGCCTTGGTAAAGTACATCAGCGAGTTGTTTTTCAGACTTAATGAAAGGAAAGTGAATCGTGCCTTCATCTAGCTTTTCCTTTATAAAGTGCCTGTCAACTCCAACATGTTTGGTTCTATCATGTTGGATGGGATTGTGAGCAATCTCTATGGCAGCCTTGTTGTCACAATGTAAGTTCATAGGTTGATTTTGAAACAAACCAAGGTCTTGTAATACTCGTTTGATCCAAAGCAATTCACACACTCCTTGTGCCATTCCTCTATACTCTGCTTCTGCGCTTGATCGAGCAACTACTTTTTGTTTTTTACTTTTCCAAGTAACAAGGTTCCCTTCCACAAATGTAAAGTATCCTGAGGTTGACTGCCTAGTTGTTTTGTCACCTGCCCAGTCTGAATCACTGTAGCCTTCAATGGATGATGTGCTGGTTTTTTCAAACAGTAACCCTTTTCCAACTGTTCCCTTTAAATATCTTAGAATCCGAAACACTGCAGCCATATGATCAATACTAGGGGAATGCATGAACCTACTTACCACGCTTACTGCATACGCAATATCAGGTCTAGTATGGGATAGGGAAATTAATCTTCCTACTAACCTTTGATATTTTCCAATATCAGTAGCTACTTGGTCAGGATAGATGCCTAGCATCTGATTCATCTCCATAGGTGTTTCGATTGGTTTGCAATTCAACATGCCGGTTTCTGTTAGAAGATCTAAAATATATTTCCTTTGAGAAAGTGAGATACCTTTTTTTGATCTTGAAATCTCAATTCCAAGAAAGCACCTTGTCGTCCACATACACAATCAAGGTTGTGATCCTTCCTTCTTGACGTTTTATGAATAAGGTGTGGTCAGCATTGCTTTGACTATACCCAAAGTTCTTCATGACCGATGAAAATCTTCCAAACCAAGCTCTAGGAGATTGCTTTAGGCCGTACAATGCCTTTTTCAATCTGCAAACGTTTGATTCCCTGCCTGCCTGTGTATTAATTCCAGGTGGTATGTCCATATACACCTCTTCCTTGAGATCTCCATTTAGAAATGCATTTTTTACGTCAAACTGTTTGAGTGGCCAATCTCTGTTTGCTGCAAGAGAAAGAAGGATTCAAATGGTGTTCAACTTGGCTACAAGTGCAAAGGTGTCTTGGTAGTCAATGCCATATTTTTGGGTGACTCCTTTCGCTACTAGCCGTGCCTTATATTTGTCAATGCTACCATCGGCTTTCAGTTTTACCGCATACACCCACTTGCAACCAATTGTTCTCTTGTTTTTAGGTAGAGAAGTAAGCTTCCATGTTGAGTTTTTCTGCAATGCCTCCATTTCAATGTTCATGGCCTCTCTCCACTTAGGATCTTCAAGAGCTTCCTACACATTGTTAGGTATGCACACAGTAGATAATTGGTTTACAGATAAGGCATTTGAGTTAGATAACCTGTGAGTTGAAACATAATTGTTAATAGGATATTTTGCCTTAGCCTGTAGGTCTGGTTCATACAATTTTTTTGGGATTCCTTTGGTTGGTCTTAGGGAATGTCGAGTAGAAGGTTCAAAAGAAGAAGAAGGTTCAGGTATGGTGTTGTCAAGGACATTCTGCATAGACGGAAGAAGAGTGTTTGGTTCAGATATTACCTCAGTGAGAATCAGTTGCTGTTCAGGAACATCTTTGGATGCATCTTCGGTTATTGGAGTTAGAAGTGGAGTTTCAGCCTGTGAGGTCATTATGGTGTCTTGATGGATTTCCTCAGATGTAGTTTCGGCTATAGGAGATGAGTTTGAGTTAGAATGAGGACTCAATTGTAGTAGTACTTCTCCTCCAAGATAATCATCAGAAGGCTTCTCCCCCTGAGGAGAAGGACCTGGGACTCCCCCTGAAAAAAAAAAGGTTCCCATTCGTGAAAGGAGACATCCATTGTAACATGTAGCTTATGTAGAACTGGATCAAGGCATTGGTATCCTTTTTTAGAGTCAGAGTATCCTACAAAAACACATTTAGTAGCACAAGGGTCTAATTTGTGACGTAAGGATTTAGGAGTGTGGACGTAGGCACTACAACCAAAAATCCGTGGTCCTAAATTTTGAATATGAGGAACGGAAAAAAAGGATTCAAGTTTTTGTTGAGGAGTTTGGAACCCAAGGACACTAGAAGGTGTCCTATTGATAAGATATGCAGCGGAGAGGACTGCCTCTCCCCAAAACCGTTTGGGAACATTCATACCAAAGAAAGAGGCTCGAACAACCTCAAGCAAGTGCCTATTTTTCCTTTCAGCTAGACCATTCTGTTGTGGTGTATATGTGCAGGATTTTTGATGTTTGATACCATTGTCAAGCAAGAAGGAGTTAAAAGAATGGTGTGTGTGTTCGATTCTATGGTCAGTTTGTAGGATTTGAATTTTAGATTGATACTGAGTGAAAATCAGAGAGTGGAAGCATTTAAAAGCATTGAAGACTTCACTTTTGTGTTTTAAAATGCTAACCCAAGTCATTCTAGTACACTCGTCAATAAACGTAACAAAATAACGTGCTTGAGACAAGGAGGGTTCCCGAGAGGGACCCCAAACATCCGAATGAATAACTTGAAATGGAACAATACTTTTATTGATACTTGGAGGGTAGGAAACACGGTGGCTCTTGGCCAATTCACAGATGTTGCACTTAAAATCTGTTTTATTCAAGACTGAAAAAAAATGAGGGAACAATTTTTTTAAGTAGGTAAATGAGGGATGTCCTAATCTATGATGCCATAACCACACAGAGGCAGAGGCTTGATCAACAGCAGTGGTATTGAAAGACTTGACCGGAGGGGAGATAGAACCGTGACCGAAATCCAAAAAATAGAGCTTTCCATGTCTAACTCCATAACCAATTGTCATCCGGGTTGAGATGTCCTGAAACACACAAAAATCAGACCAAAAAGAAACAGTGCAATTCAAAGAGGTAGTAATTCGTGAAACAGATAAGAGGTTAAATTCTAGAGAAGGAACTACTAATACAGAGTCCAGGAATAAAGAGGGAGATAGGGAAAGGGATCCTTGGCCAGTGATGGGTGATGTGTTCCCATTTGCAGTGGAGATGAAAGGCAAAATAGAGGGTTTACAATTATGTAATTCAGAGGAATCTCTAATCATATGGTCCGATGCACCTGTGTCAATTACCCATGTATGGTTTCTAGACAATGTAGAAAAAGCAAAAGGGTTACCAATTTGACCTTGATGAGCAACCAAGGCTGCAGGGGAGCTGGACGATTCAGAGGCAGGGGAAGCCGTGGCAATTGCAGCAGCGGACGTTTTCCGACGTGGCTGTTTGTTGAAGTCCCACCATTCAGGATACCCTATTATCTCATAGCATCTCTGTTTGGAGTGTCCAGTAGCCCCGCAATGAGTACACGAAAACTGATTTTGTTTTCCAGATGGAGTTTGCTTGCGAGTCTTTGAAGGACCAGAGGCAGGAAGGGTGACCATTGTTGTGGAGTCTGGAGGAAGACGAGCAGAATCCATGGTCTGACGTTGAGTGATTTCTCGGCGAACAAATGCATAGGAGCTCTCAAGATCGAGTTTTGGCTCCTTTCGAAGAATTTCTCCGCGAAGGTGAGCAAAGTCAGGGTCCAATCCGCTGAGAAAAATGTGCACCCTTAGCCGAGCCATGGTGGAGTGGAGATGAACCACACCGGCAACTGTAGAGGCTTGGGATGTCGTTCGATGGTCAATTTCTTGAAAAATGGCAAGAAGTTCGTTGTAGTATGTTGCCAGAGGTCGCCCTTGCTGCTTCGTTGTGAACGATTTCTGGTTCCAAACCTCACATTAGTTGCCCATACAACCAATGTAGGACTATATTTCTCAACACGCCCCCTCACATGAGAGTCCATTGGGCTTGAAGGATGGACAACATACAAGCCCACCTACATGTGAAAAATTCCACTACAAAGAAAGTGGGAGGCGGTGAGATTTCAAACGCTCTGATACCATGTTAAAAACAGTAACTATATTGAATTCATATTTCTTTCGTATATTCATCCTCAATGAGGGGTCTCATATATATATACAACTCAGAGCAACAACTTGCTACTAATAAGGAAACTAACCTAAACAACTTGATCTCATCTGTTCAAATATACAAAAACAATCAACAACCCGATAACTGTGCAAATGAACAAAACAATCAACAAACCAGATAACAAACTTTTTCTAATTTGAAATTTAAATATCATATTTCAACACTATGCTCAAATGCAAAATGAACTGGTATCCATAGTTTGGGAAAATTGGCCAAGGAAACACCCAAATGGGATCATAGATACTCTTATTATAGTTATGATTTGCTTTACTTGGAGAAATTAGAAGCTCTAAGGAAGCATCCCCGCACTAGATAAACTTTTATTTCTCTTAAGAGGATAAAGATAAGCACACAACTTTTTGCTATATTTCTTTTTGAGACTCTTCTCGTTTATGCTTGTATTTTATAATAAAAAATCAATGCAAAATACATCTCATTAACACTAAAATGTAAAAAACTGTACCATTGTAAGTTATGAGGTACTTTATTGATCTGTATGGCTCATCAATTTCCAACATAGATGACTCAACTCATGTTGCTACACAGGGCGATTATATACAAGAATTCAATTAAATAATTACTAACTTAATTGTTCTTTCTGAAAATACTCTAATATGTAACAGTTATAGGTGCATGAGTTTTTGAGATGAAAACAGTGTGTTATGTTCACTTCCCAACTATCCTCAACTTGGGTGCTTGGAAATTTTTTCGGGTTATGACGTAAATCTTATGTCAGCATTATTTCCCTTTCATTTGATTTTATGGATGCCTTATGCTTTACAGTAGTTCATTTCCTGTTTTACACATTTCCAACAGCATGGAAAAGAAGTTTCCTTACTTGGTTCAGAAAAAACACAAAGAAGGGCAAGAAATACGACGGGTAGCTCAGTTTTGCTGGAACGTAATTGCTGATGATTGTAATCAACCATTTTTTGCATCAGGCTTAAAATTGATTCCGTTACCAGTTAATTACCACAAACCTTGTCATTATTGATAGTAATGCAATATCCCTTTTATATTAGAAGGTTTTCAGTGCTTCATTTCTCGATGTAGGTAATGCATGGAGAGGATTACATCTGTTTGGGCTTTCTTTTTGGGGAGAAAAGTAGGGTGGCTTATATATCTGATGTTTCACGGATTCCAGCCAGTACAGAGTTTGGTGCGTTTTGAATTAGTTTATCCATTATGTACCTAAAATATCAATAATCAATTGGGATAGGTTATACTTACCGTCATTTTTTTTACCACCTCTTACTATCAATTTTTTTATCGTTGGATCAAAATCAAATTAACGGTTACAAAATAACACCAAGCGAGAGCCATTGATTTGATTTTGATCCAACGATAACAAAAATGATAGTATGAGGTAGTAAGAAAAAAATGTGATAAGTATAACCTTTCCCTAATCAATTATGCAAAAGTATTTCCATTGCATAAATATAAATTATGTACCTAAAGGGTACTTATAACCCAAAGATAATAAAAATCCTAAATAGATAAATAATCTTAATAAAATATAAATTTTCTTAAACTAGATATCTTGTCAATGATAAAATCCCTAAAAAGGACAGATGTCAATATCGTAAATAACATAATTATGATCAAATCCACAGGTTTAAAATAATATAAATACTCCTAATCTGTTCTGCATCACAACCTGCATTTAGTTTTCAAACCTGAAAAAATAACTCATGGATGTTATATGATCAAGAATAAGCAGTAAGTATTATTTACTTAACCCTAATCAAAACCATATAGCCGCTGAATAGCTTGACTTTGTAGCCTTGTCGTCCTCATTGAAAGAATAGGAGGGCTGCTCTTATAGAACTTTTTGAAGCATTTATACATTAGAAAACCCTCAAATGAAGTGTACTTTTTATCATCTAATTGTAAATTTTCTTTTTTAATAGTCATTTCAAAAAGTGGGGCTGGACAGTTGGATCTTCTTATATTGGATGCATTGTATAAGGTCAGTACTTCTATTTTTAATTGTTGTCCAGGCGTATATGGGAATTACACTCTGCTACAGAATTTGTATAATATACATGATATGCCAGGAAAGGATGTCTGCTTGCACATAGGACATGAATGAAGTTGCTCTCAACATTCAATCTGGCTCTCAATATCTCAGTTCCTCTAAGTCTCTCCTAGCATAGAATTTTGTTTACTGGCATGCGCTGAAAGTGGTTCTTAGTCAGTAGTTCTTTTGTGTGGCTTCATATGATTCAGTCCTTTGTCAATTTGTTTTGTCGAATGAGTTCACGTCTTTTTCCAGGAGTAAATTTTTTCATTGATTTTCTAATACAAGACAGCCAACACATCCTCGTCACAAGTATAATTACTTAATCAAAGAAGCCCAACAATATGATTATAAATGCATACTTACTGGACCTAAATGCAATAAAATTTGTGGTCACCATTTCTTCTATTTTAAAATATAAAACCCTTTTTCCCTTCGTTGCTAATTTTGGACATAAACATAAAAATTTCTTGAATGTGACGAATAGCAAAATATTATTTTATTGTGCTTCAAGTTGCATAAAGATAGTTTCAGCAAAAAACACATGCTGGAATAAATTTAAATTTGTCGCTAATAATAGAATGATCTGGAAGCAAATATTTTCTGAGTTATTGCTTTTCTTAGCTTTTGGAGTTGAAACGTGTTTTGATCAGTTTCTCAATGTACAATTTTGCTTGTTATGATTGTTGTATTCGCGTGTCTCAATCTTCAAAAACGAATTCTTTTGATATTTTTTGCACTTGTTTCTTGCAAGATACACAAACACTGCCATAATTTCCTATACATTTTTCTTTTCTTTTCTTTTTTTTTGGGGGGGAGGGGGTAGTTTAAGGGAGAACTACAAAAAATGGAACTCTTGTTTAAAAAATATGGATAACAAAGTGGCGATTCTCGGCAAAACTGTGGCTATTTTTCCGACATGGTAAATAATTTGTCAGGATTTCCTTTTCTGTAATTTTCCTAAAACAGTTTATGTGGTTGATATTTTAACATGGCCAAGTAATCATGATTTTGAAGTTCCACATTATTTGATTGATTATTCTGAATCTTGCCCTTTCTGATACATGTTTGTCGATTCCATATTTTAGTTTTCTTATTTCTTTACTTTCTCACAGATAGTTGTTTCCATCTTGATATTACTCTCTGTGTTACCACAGACTGGATCACATAATGTTCACTTTTGTCTTCCACAGGTTAGTTCTGCATTTACAAAATGATGTTTAGACTTATTATCTCCCTGATGGTGAAATCTCGCTATTTGTAATTTTACAGACTCTTGAAACTGTAAAGAGGTTATGTCCAAAGCAAACCCTATTGATTGGAATGAATCACGAGTTTGATCACCACAAGGACAATGAGTATTTGATGGAGTGGTCCAAAAGGTACACTTCTTGTCCATTTCTCAAAGTAGTCAAAAAATAACTGTTAAAGTTACAATAGGCAGTCCATTTTCTCTATGCTATATTGTGGATTTTAGAAAATTAGAGAGTTGATTCTTCTATAATTGTTTAGGGAAGGAGTTCTAGTGCAGCTTGCTCATGATGGTTTGAGAGTCCCCATAAACTTATAGGAAGGGGAATACTTGCCAACCTGAATCTCAATTTTTCTCATCAAAAGTAGTACATACAGTAGCTGCACTATTAATTCTTCACCATGATCAAAAGCATGCATTTGTATCTCGTGTCACACTTGGGAGGGCGCGCATACTTAGTTATCTCGTTGTTGAATACTGCTCCCTTTTCTTTTTGTTTTCTTTTCTTCTCTGCTTTATAAAGTTTGCACTGATAAATTGTGGATTGAATGGCATTTAGAGTATGCTTGTTTGAGAAGGTGAAAAATAAGTACCTACAATATTAGATGGGAAATGAAAATAGAATGGGATGGAAAGGTTTTAATTTTCACTTACGCTGTATTTGGAATCATTAAATAATGGAATTAATTTGATTTAGAAATAAAATCCACTCAAATCTGAGTGAATTTGTACATGTTTACAACTAAAATTAGAATGATTTCAAAATCAAATCAATTCTTGTTTTATAACTTTCCAAACAAGTCTTGCTTATCTACAATGGAATAGATTCCTCAACTGGTAAGTCTTACACCAACTTTATAATATTAATAGCAATATCTAATAAGAACTATGGTTCAAGGTTTAATTCATTGCATCAGCAATTGCCAATTGCTGTACTTATACACAGGTTTCTGTTACAATCGATAAGAGCAGCGACAAAGATAAAATCGGCAGAATATCAACTACAATAAAACTAGCCAACAACCTATTAGTTGCACAACAATACAGAAGCAAACTCATAATAAACTCATTTGAAATACAAATTTGAATACAGATATTTGAACCACAATACTATCTACATTTGAATAGCATTGTAACATTCCAATATTCTCCCTCAAGTTGGAGCATGTAGGGAATTAATGCCCAACTTGCCAAGAGCAATGTGAAGTGAAGTGTGACCAGGGCCTTAGTAAAGATATCAGCGAGCTGGTCATGCGATCGGATGAAGGAAAGATCGTCTTGTTAACAATATGATTACAAATAAAATGGAAGTCTAGCTTGATGTGCTTTATATGCTCGTGAAATATGAGGTTCGCAGCTATATGTAAAGTCAGTCGGTTGTCACAAAATAGTCTCATCGGATCACCCTGGTGCACTTCCAAGGACGCTAAAAATTATATCGACCAGATAAGTTCTAAAGTGGTGCTAGCCATGGACTTGTATTCAGCCTCAGCTATGGACCGTGACCCAGTGGCTTGCTTTTTGGTTTTCCAAGAAATCGAGGTAGAGCCAAGAAGGATAAAGTAACCACTTAGGGATTTGCGAGTAAGGAGACAACTATCAATCAGCATCACAAAATTCGTAGAGCTGAAGATCACAGCAGACTTCCGAAGAATACCTTGCCTTGGACTAGATTTGACATAACGTAGGATATATAACAGTGTCATAGTGACCTTGTCGTGGACTTTGTATAAACTGAGAAAGGATGTGCACTACGTAACATAAATTCGGTCGTGATTGTCAAATACACTACACGACCAATTAGTCATCTGTATTGAGCAGGATTATGAAAGAGCTCCCTATCTACCAGGGCCTGACTCTGGTTTTGTTCAATGGGGAGATGGCAGATTTGCAACCAAGTAATCCATACCCAAATAAGATGTCAAGAGCATACTTATGTTGGCTTAAGAACAAACCAGTCTTTCACTGAGCTATCTCAATTCCTAGAATTTACTTTAAAGGACCAAGATTTTTGATTTTCAAACAAGAGTCAAGATACTTCCTCATAGCACAATGTTATCAACAAAACCATTCCCTGTCAGAACAATGTTATCAACATAAACCAAAAGAGCAACAAAAATGCTACCTCGTTGCATGGTGAAAAGAGTGTAGTCAACTCGTGATTGAGTGAACCCATAAGTAGTCAATACGCATTTCTCCCAGAATCGTATAGCAAGTTCGCTTGGAACCTCAAAGCCCTTACATTCAATTTTGTTGCGGAACATTCACACAGGATGTTTGGTAGAGCACTCTAGATTCATGAAAAAAATTCATCAAGTGTTGGCAAGTAAATTTTGTCCCATTATCTAATCTCATTATTTTGATTCATGTTCCAAATTGTCTTTCAATCATGGCAAATAATATGTTAATCATAGTGATGCATTCACTCTTTTCTTTCAACAGATATACATATGTTGCTCGATTGTGATCATTTACGATTGTTAAAAAAATAGTGTGCACCACCAAATGGCGGTAGCTCAGTTGGCGCATGGGAGCTAAGCAGGTGGAGATGAGAGCATGTGTTCGAATCTTTCCAGTACCACCTTTGGGAGGGGTTTAAAGCCTTAATCCTGAACCCATCCCGAATCGGATTAGTTGCAAAACAATAAACCGATTGGAATATTTCCAAAAAAAATAAAATAATGTGCACCATAAAAAGAAATGGTCTTAAAAGGTCCCCACTAATTGCAATGAAGGGGATCAAAACAATTATTGCTCCCTTTATTATTCAAAGGGAAAACATTACGAGTTTGCTTTGCCTTGTGGCATACATCACAAGTCAAATGAGTTAGAAATGTGGCTTCCATACTCAAGAGAGAAGTGAATTGAGTATGTCAAATTGTTCGCAATTGCCCCCCTTCTCTTTTCTAAATTACCTTCTCATGCAAACTTTGATATTTGAAAGACTTATCAATATATTCAACCAACTCATGATACATACACCATCACAATTATAAAATCTATTCTAGTACATACAGGATATCAAATAAGCAATTAAAGTGCTAGAATAAATGAGTTAACGGTTTAGATGATTGCAAACATAATTTATCCTAATTCGATCACCATCATTTGTGATCTACGTCCAAATTAATAGTTGATCAAATGTGTGTTTCACTATTAGAAAGATTTCACGGGTACTTAACAAACCGCCACAACCTCCAAGTTTCCGAGTGCTTGTAAAGCTAATAATCCACTGAGCTTCAACGGGTTCTTAACAAGTTTTCAATGGGTGGGGGTAGAGGGGTGATGTTATGAAATTACATTTTTACATATTAACTCATTGTTTTTCCTTTATGCTATAGTAAGGGTATATAGGTCCTTTTATACAACTACATTTTCTTCCCTCTCGCTTTTCTATATAAACAAACCAGAGAGATTAGTATTTCTCCTTTCCTGTCTTTTCTTCTTCCCTTTAAACAAACATGATTGAGAGAGGAGGCAGCACCAAAAATACATGAGTTCGCAAGATACCATAAACAAAGCCAGGAAACAGTGAATTTAAAAGCTACCAGCATGATTGAAAGATAAACAAGAATCAAAATCGATAATGACACTTGCTTTTTTATTGACTGGACTTGACTGCTCCGGCCCTTCTTCCTGTATGCGACATGACACTTGAAGCAGCAGAAGTAGAAACAGAGCACATGAGTGAGGTTGAGTAAGTATGCTCCGATACAAATTTGAGATGAATTTATCGAGATTGAATAATGAAGCATCAGCGAATTTGTGGTGATGACGATGTGATGCAAGCATCGCCAAGTTTGCTGTGCCGTTTATTATTCAAAATTGTACTAATTTAGTATATTGTCCAAATTATAACTAAACTCTAGAACTTACTTTCAATTACAACTCTCCCAAACAATAAATAAAACACAATTAAGTACAATTTACTCATTAAGTTCTAAATTATCCTTCCCTTCAACTTTTTTCATATAGACTTTTGTGGGCCAGTCACTCCAAGTTTTTTCAAATGTAAACATGGAGTAACAAAGTGTTTGCATGAAAAAGGAATGGCGATAAATTTTCATTTTAAATAAATATTCTATAATTTAGAATTTTTTAAATGAAAAAAATAAATTATAGATTATTATTAGGATTTAAAGTTTTTAAAGTTATTTTAGATAATTTTATTTAATGTTCACCAAAATACACACAAAAAAGTGTGTGGGGATCCATGTGAAGAGAAAAAAGAGAAAAAAAAAAAAAAATATAGGTCTCACATACTTTTACTTTTATATGTATATTTTGGTAAACATTAAATAAAGTTGTCTAAAGTAACTTTAGACACTTTAAACTCAAAAAAAATACATTAAAAAACTCATGACACAATGTAGTGAAATATTAAAGTTTTTAAAACTCATTCAATAAACAGTTAAAAATATAATGACATCAAAACTCATCCAAAAACAAGCTAACATGATATGTTTTCTTCTTATTTTTAATTTGGACTATTTTTCGTCAGTCTACA